AGGAACGGGAGGAGAAGCAGGAGGTGAAGCAGGAAGGAGAGGGAGGAGTGGGAGGAGGGGGAGGAGGAACGGGGGGGGAGAGCAGGGGGAGGAGGAACGGGGGGAAGAGCAGGAGAAGCAGTGGGAGAAGGAGGAGGAGCGGGAGAAGGAGAGGGAGGAGGAGAGGGAGGAGGAGCGGGAGAAGGAGCAGCGGGAGGAGAAACAGGGGGAAGAGAAGGAGAAGCAGCGAGAGGAGGAGCTGGAGGAGCAGCAAGAGGGGGAGCGGGAGAAGGAGACGGAGGAGGAGTGGGAGGAATAGCGGTCGGAGGAACAGGGGGAAGAGCAGAAGAAGCAGCGAGAGAGGGAGGAGGAGCAGCAGCAGCAGCAGGAGGGGGAGCGGGAGAAGGAGCAGGAGGAGATTAAGTTGTGGTGGAGGAGCAGCGGGAGGTCAGTCTCTCTCTCTCTCTCCCTCTCTCTCGCTCTCTCTCTGTCTCTCTCGGTGGCTAGCCACATGGCGGGCCTTTTGTCTTTTTTTTTCTGTAGCAAGATGCCTATGGCGGGATCTTTGTCACGTTGTTTGGCGGAAGAGGAGCGGGAGGAGGACTGAGAGGTGCGGGAGAAGGTGCGGCAGAAGGAATGGGAGGAGCGGGAGGATGAGCGAGAGGGGTGGGAGGAGGAGCGGTGGAGGTTTCTCGCGCCCCCCCCCCCCCCCCCCCCTTCCCCATCGCCGCACGTCGCTGCGGCGGGTCCACTTGTTTCATTAAATTTTCTATCTCTTACTTGCATTCATGTGGACTGTGGAGAGGAGCTCTGCCTGCAGTGACAGGCTGGAGTCTCAGCGGTCTCCATTTCTCCCATGTGCAGACTTGGGCACTGGGCCCTTTAATTTAAAAAATGGAAAATTTGGCGCCCCTGTATTTTCCATTATTTTGTGTCGCGCCCCTCTGATGGCAGATTTACCCTGTTGCACCCCTCTGACCACCAGTCAAATTTTCCATAAAACCCTGGTGTCGTTTGGGCCTCATATGTTTTCGAAGTGCCCCTACCGGTACCCACACCAAATTCGCAGCATGCCCCTACCGGATACCCGTTGGAAAAATTTCTGATATGCCCCTACCGGTACCATCCATCTTTTGAACAGGTAAGTCTCCAACCTCGCATCTGACCTCATGCTACTTCCATCCATATGATGAGCAAAATTGAATGAATCTACGGCGAGAACATGGAAATATACACTGCCGTGTTTTGTGTGTGTGTGTGTGTGTGTTCTCTTATACACATCTAGATGTGTATAAGAGACAGCCCATATACCAAGCTCCGAAATACTGACCTGCATAAGTGAGAGGCGGATGGCCCAGTGGTTAGGGCACCGGTTGGAAATGCACATTGTGGTTTGAGGTTGCGGGTTCAAATCCGCAACCTCGTGCATATGCCGCCGG